TCAAAAGATATGATCAGTTCTCAGATGAAGTAATCAAAGCTATCTATAGCCATATGAAAAATACTCTAACTCACTATTGATTAGACAAATGCAAATTAAAACAATTCTGAGGTACTGCTTCATACCTATTAGATTGACTAAGAGGACAGAATGGGTAAATGACAAATGTTGGAGGGGATATGGGAAAAATGAGACATTAATGCACTGTTGGTGTTGTGAACTGATTCAACCATTCTATAGACCAATCTGGAACTATGCCCAAAGGACTATAAAACCATGCATACCTTTTGACCCAGCAATACCACTACTAGGTCAGTATCCCAAAAGAGATAAAAAACAAAAAGGAAAAGGACTTATATGTACAAAAATATTTATAGTGGCTCTTTTCTGGGGGTAAAGAATTAGAAATTGAGGGGATACCCATTAATTGGGAAATGGCTGAACAAGTTGTGGTATGTGATTATGATGGAATACTATTGTACTACAAGAAATGATGAGGACGCTTTCAGAAAAACCTGGAAAGACTTGAATAGGCTGATGCAAAGTGAAATGTACTGTGTACAAAGTAACAATATGTAAGATGATCAGCTGTGAATGACTTTGCTATTCTCAACAATACAATTGATCCAAGACAACTCTGAAGGACTTATGATAAAAAAATGCTATCCCGAGAAAGAATTGATGGTGTCTGAATGCAGATTGTAATATACTTCTCTTACTTTATTTTCTTGAGTTTTTTTGTCTTTATTTTCTTTCACATGACTATTATGGATATGTTTTGCAGGACTACACATGCATAACCTATATCAAATTGCTTACCTTCTCAATGAAAGGTGGGGGGTGGGGAGGGAGGAATGGAGAGAATTTGGAACTCAAATGTTTTAAAAACAAATGTTGAACATTGTTTTTACATGTAATAGGAAAAAAAAATACTATGATTGACTTAGCTCTTCTTAGCAATACAATGATCCAATCCAAAAGACTCATGATGGAAAATACCATCCATATCCAGAAAAAGATCTGATGGAGTCTGAATGCAGATCAAAGCATACATACTATTTTCACTTTTTTTGCTGTTTTTTTTTCCTTTTGTTCTATTTCTTTTTTTCACAACATGACTAATATGGAAATACGTTTTACATGATTGCACATGTGTAGTCTCTATCAGATTACTTGCTGTCTTGTGGAAGGGAGAAAAATCTGAAACTCAAAATCTTTCAAAAAATGAATGTTGAAAATTTTCTTTGCATGTAATTGGAAAAAAATAAAATACTATTAAATTTTTAAAATGAGGGAGACCTGGGGTTATTTATAGGTTGCTAGCAGGATAAGAACCAATAGATAAGGTGAGGTTAAAAAGAGATATAGGACGATGGGGTGTGTACAAGCTACAAGAGGAGAGGGCATGATGCAGAGGATCTGGTATTGGCGAAAAGGACCACCTCAGCTTCTGAGACTACTGCAAAGGAGAGTATGAGAGATATAATACCATGCCAATACAAAGTATGGATTTGGGGAAAGGGAGCTTGACCTTCCCCACACCCATGGCTGACTGCTTCAGCACAGGTAACTGGGAAAAATCTCCAACAAGTTTCTCTTACAAAGGACCTATATTCAAGATTTAAATTTATAAAAAGCCATTTCCCATCAGACTGAACAAAAGACGTGAAACAGACAGTTTTCAGAGGAAGAAATCTCTAGGCTTTCAACAATCACACTTTAAAATTACTTTAAAATCACTAAGAGACTCATATTCTTATAGATTTGATAAAATTCTTCATATATTTTAGCTATGAAGAGCAAAATGAGCAGAACCAAGAGAACATGGTATACAGTAACAGCAATATTGTTTCAAAAATGACTTGGGGCAAATACATTACTTTATTATAAATACTTAAATTAACTAAAAAGGACATACAAAGATACTATCTGCATCCCAAGTACTGAGAAATAGATGTACAGAATAATTTTACATTTATATACCTATTTGTGTCTAACGGTGGCCATGGGAGAGGGGGAGAAAAAAAAGACTTACATGATAACTGTTGTATATTTAAAACAAATAGCAAGTTATACACAGATTTGCAGTTTCATGTACAATCATCTTTTTTATTATGCTGTTATGGAAATGCTTGTTTTATTCCACAAATTAAAAATAAATTTTATTAATTTTAGTTTTCAACATTCACTTCCTTAAGCTTCTCAGTTTAAAATTTTCTCCCCCTCCCTCCTTCTCCAAGATGGCATGCAATCTGATATAGGGTCTACATTCCTATTAAACATATAAAAATAAATTTTTAAAAATCACTAATAAAGGGATGCAAATTAAAGCAACTTTGAGGTTCCACCTCATATATCAGACTAATATGACAAAAGAGGGAAATAATAAATGTTGGAAGGGCTGCAGAGAAAATAGCTATCATTAGCATACTGTTGGTGGAGTTGTGAATTGGTCCAGCCCAGGGATGGACCTTTTATTGAGGGGATTTGTTTTGTGAAGTTTGGATTCAAAGGGCCACACTTGAGGACCTAGAGGGCTACATATAGCCTGGAAGCCACAGGTTCCCTACCCCTGGTCCAGCCAAGCCATTCTGGAAAGAAATTTGGCATTAAGCTCATAAAATTACTGAACTAAGCATACCACTTAACCCAGCACTATCACTACATGGCCTATACTCCATGGAAATCAAAGAGGATAAAGGTCTATGTATATAAAAATATTTATAGCAGTTTTTTATGGTACCCCAAAATTGAAAACTACAGGGCTACCCTCCCTTTAGGGAACAGCTAAACTAATTGTGGTATACAAATATAAGAGAATATTATTGTGCCATATGAGGAAATGTACACTTTCAGAGGAAACAAGACTTAAGAAATGATGCAGATCAAAATGAGCAGAACCACAATTTATACAATGATAACACTGAAAGATTTTAGAACTCTGATCAATGCAATGATAAACCAGGAGTCCAAAAACTGAAAATGAGACACCCATTTGCCTCTTGACCAAGTAGAGATGAACTTAAAAGGAAGACAGAGATGTACATTTTCAGACATGGCTGACGTGGTAATGTTTTTTGATGGACTAAGTAAGTATTGACGGGTTTGGTTTTTGATTTGCTTTTTAAAAATTTGCTCAGTGGGGAAGGGAGAATGGTGGGAAGGATAAATTGATTTTTAAAATGCTTGCTACTTCAAAGATAAAAATAATAAACTATAAAAATTAAAATATCATCACAAAAAAAGAAAGAGAACTTGAGACAAATCGTTTCAATTTTATCAGTTAAGCATATGAAGAAAGCACCATCTTCTGCTTACAGGGATGGGTGGTGCAGTAGCTTAAAAAGAAGTTTGGAATAACTATTGGAATAATTTGATAGACATTCAGGGAAAAGTAAAAGGATTGGCGTATACCAGAGATGATCCAGTTGATACTGTTTGGCACAAATATAGGGAGGAGATAATATACTAAGATTTAATCTAAGGAATAGCCCATTCAGCAATTTTGTGAAGGCTTCCATAACCTAACTACCAATAAACACCTATATAATACATAATGCCTTGTTAGGCAAGTCAGTCTCTGACCTTCTCAAGCCACAGAATCATATATAAAGAGCTGAAAGGGAACTGAGAAGCCATCTAATTATACCTTCTCGTTTTACAAACAAAGAAACTGAGTCCCATGGAGGTTGAGTGGTTTGCCCAAGATCACAGAGTTGGGTAGTGGGATTTGAACCCAAATCCTCTCTCCACTGTACCATGTTACCTGGTCATAGTGGTACAATGGTAAAAGCACTAACTCTAGTATCAAAGAATCTCAGTTCAAATTCCATCTTTGACATTCACTAACTATAACTTTGAGCAAGTCACTTAACCTCCCTAGGCCTCAGTTTCCTTATCTGTTAAAAATGAGCAGGGTTGAAGCTGGCTGGCCCCTGTGGTCCCTCTTTCAGTTCTTGATTTAAGTAAGTTAACTCCTATTCACCTGAAACCAAGTGGGCAAAGAAAATAGATTTTTAAAAATAGCAGGGTGGGGAATCTAGGTGGCACAGTGGATAGAGCTCTGGTCTTGGAGTCAGGAGGACCCGAGTTCAAATCTGGTCTCAGACACTGGACACTTACTAGCTGTGTGACCCTGGGCAAGTCACTTAACCCCAACTGCCTCACCAAAAAGCAAAAAAAAAAGCCAGGGATGGCCTGGAAAATATTCTCACTCATTTTCTTTCTTTCTTTCTTTTTTTTTTTACTACCTCTTTCCCCAGAAAAGTGTAAGTTTGACACCCTCAACCCCATCTTGAAAGACACAGACAACAACTCCAAGGCTCAAACTTTATTCCCGATGCGGGACAGGTTCTTTTTACTCCCCAATTTGAGATACATCTCTTTCCCGGGGAGACAGTCCCATTACTTTCCACCCACTTTTCACTTTTCCAGCAAGGAGAAAGAAACAAGGAGTTTGAGAAGAGGTCAAGATGAATGCTTTGTGCAACCCCTCCCCCCTCCCCTCCCCATCCTTCCTGTCACTACAGGGAATAACTTTTCCCCTGCACTATCACTTTTAGAGATCACTCTGTTATTCCCCCTGCCCTTCCAAAACAAAACAAAACAAAAAAAACCCCTCACTTTAAAAAAAGGATCCTGAGCTGAGGGACTGGGGGGGGTGTAAATGTCACACAGGCAGTGGTAACAGTCACTACTGTTTCTGCTGCATAGCCTCCTTTCGAGCTGCGTCCTGTAGTAGCTGGGTGTCAACTTCATCCGCTGGCAGCTGCACATATCTGACTACAGAGCCCCGGATAAAACAGTTCTTCACAGAAAGCTAGATGGAAACACAAGAAGGGGGCCAATTTTCGCTGAGAAGCCTCTTTCCCAGGCCCTACTGCAGCCTCTCCCCTTATTCATCCTCTCCAACTCACCATGTGCGGATATTTTTCTGGGTCTGTAACACTGATATCTGTTAGTTTGATGTTGAGATACTGGATAAGGGAGAGAGACACACCATTAACACTGAAATCAGGACCCAAGTACCTAGCTTCACCTTCCAGCTCCTCCCTTCCATCCCTCATATTCATATTTCCCTCAAGGAACCTGATATAAGGCCCCTTCCTTCTCACCTGGTCCACAGAGTGCAGGGTCCCACAGATGCTGTGAAGGGAGAGGGAGGACTGCATTAGTTAGAACCAAACTCAGCACAGGCAAAGCAAGATCCTTCCTACTGCCACCACCTTCCATCCCATTTCATAAATTAATACAACCACCATGCCAGACTGTGTTTTCTTTTTGGACTGGTAAATCAATTAAGCTATAGATGTCGTTTATTTCAATTTTAAGGAAGCTTTCCACAAATCTCTCCTGCTATTCTTGTGTAAAAGACAGAACAGACATTAATGATTCTATATCAGCTTGGAAGAAGCTCCCTAGCAATCTGTCTGGCCATTGTATCTAGCACCTAGGATAAAGGCATAGATAGTATGCTTACTACATTTACAAGTGTCATGAAATTGGGATGAATAGTTAGCAGACTAAATGAGGAAGTAAAGATTATATCTTTATAGGACATATCTTTAGGAGAATATTTAAGGAAAATATCTTTACAAGGCAGGTCTTTCCATCAAATCCACTAAAATGAAATTTAACAGGGATATCAAATTTTATACTTGACTTTGCAAATCAACTTTACAAGCACAAGATGGGGATGTGTAGCTAGATTTAAAAAAAAAAAGTCTGAGAGGCTCAGTGGACCAAAAGCTTGGTGCAAGTCAATCCTGGACTGAAAGCCATGGTGCCAATACAGGGAAATAGCATTGTAGTCTTCATGTTGATCAGACCACACAAAAGGAAACGGGGGTTGAATTATGTGTAACCACATGTTAGGAAGGGACATTCATTGATAAGCTAGACTAGGTATTCAAAGGAGAGGATCCAGATAATCAAAGAATTCAAATTTATGCCATGGGAAGATCAGTTAAGGAAATGGGGGTATTTAAAAACCTCGAGAAGAGAAACTAACTGAGATTTGAAGGGCTATAATGGAGATTAACCTTGTTCTAATTGGCTCTAGGACAGAACTGGGAGAAATGGGTGAAAGTTGTAGACAGACAAAGTGAAATTTGATGCAAGGAAAAATTTAACATGTTAAAGGCACCCAAAAGTGGACCCAGGAAGAAGTGAACCTCCTTCCCAGGAAGTCTTTGAGTTGGACCCCCATTTGTAGGGTGCCTTACAACATACCCGATTCTCGTTCAGGTAGCTAGCCTGTGGTCCCTTCCATATCTTGGATCCTGTGGCTTTCCATCCTTTCTCCTCTGCTCCCTCTTCAAATCTATTAATACTACTCTATGTCACATTGTCATGCTCAAGTCTTTTTTAATGATCCTTAATAGGAGGAAAACCTTTTTAAGTGTGCCTTGTTGTAAGTATATCAAGCCTTCTTTTGGCACCTGTAGAACAGCAAAGGAATGGATTCATGAGGAAGACCACTGATAGGTCTCTTTCACCCCTAATCATGTCTTATGAGTTCATTATTAAAGTAAAAATGTCCCTGAGAATAGCCCTACCTTAAGCCTGTAAGAGCTTGGATCTTATGTAAATATTTAGTGAGGGTGTTACATAGAAATCACACACAAGACTTAGGCAGAATATACCAGAAGGTAAGGGAGGGGAAGAGAAGACGAGGTAAATTTTAAGTTTTACCCTCTTCACAATTTTGCCTAGGATTCACTCTGTCCTTTATGTAGGCCTTACTCTACAACACTGGCCATTATGCTACTAAAATTTGTGCTCAACAGCAAAAATATCAAGTCAATGAATTCTCATCCATATGATCAATCCATCAGCAAACATTAATATTAAATGCTTACAATGTTCTAGGCACTGTGCTAAGTGCTAGGGATACAAAGAAAGGAAAAACATTTCCTGTATTCTTTTTTTTTTTTTTGTGAGGCAATTGGGGTTAAGTGACTTGCCCAGAGTCACACAGCTAGTACGTGTTATCTGTCTGAGGCTGGATTTGAACTCAGGTCCTCCTGACTCCAAGGCCAGAGCTCTATATACTATGCCACCTAGTTGCCCCCATTCCCTGTATTCATAAGAAGCTTACATTCTACTGACAGAGACAACATACAAGATACAAGGTATATGGAAGGCAATCTTAGAGAGAAATGCTCTGGCAGTTAGGAAGGATTCCTCCAAGGATCTGTGTGAACTCTTAAAGGAAGCCAGAACTGAAGGTGAGGAGAACATTCCAGGAATGTTGGACCGCCAATACAAAGGCACCCAGGGAGGAGATTCTGGAATGAAGAAGATCCAGTAGGCCAAAATGGCTAGACTGTAGAATTCTTGGAAAGGGATAATATGTAAGAAGACTAGACAGGTAGGAAGGGGCCAGGTTGTAGAGAGCTTTTGATGCCAAGGAAAGAATTTTATACATGATCCTGGAGATAACAGAAAGCCATTGGAGAGAGGATGGGGTGTCACAGAAGTACATGATTTGACCTACACATCAGGAATGTAATTTTTAGTAGCTGTGTGAAAGATGAATTGGAGAGGGAAATGACTTGAGAAAGTCAGCAAGAAGACCAAAATTCACAATGTGTAAGAAGAATGGAGAGGCAGGAGGGGGTTAGGGGTAAAGAATTTTAAATGTCAAAGAAAGGACTTTATATAGGATCCTGGAACTAACAAGAAGCCTCTGGAGTTTGGGGAAGGAGGGGGTTTGACATGGTCAGACCTGTACTTTAAGAAAATCACTATGGTAGTTGTATTAGTGGATGGATTGGAGTGAGAAGACTTGAGAGAGAGAGGTTAATTAGAAAGCTACTGAAAAAGTTCAGGCAAGAGATGATGAGGGCCTAATCAAGTTCAAACTCTTTGCCCGTCAGACCTGATTGGCTGTCTTCTGAAAACACTGTGCTCATTGGCCCTCTGCTCATAGTGTTTCACCTGGAATCCCTTCTCCATTCCTATCTCAATTCTACTATGTTCATGCCTATCCAAATTCTACCCATCTCTCAAGGTCCAAATCCCAAGGCTACTGGGGACTTATCTCTACCGACCTCTCTCTTCCCTGAATTCCTTCATATACCATATCATCTAGTACCTGATAATATAGTTTAGTACTGTTCCTGAATTTCTCCCTTTTGCAAGACTTATATCCCCATCTAGATTGTAAAGCTTAAAAGTAGGGATTACATCATGTATTCTTGTATTGTACACCCTGTGCCTACTTCAAAACATAATTATACAACATTAATTAAGAAGCCTCTTCTGTCAAAAGAACTCTGTGCAAATTCAGCAAAGTTGCCTTCTTCAGTTCTGCAGGAAGACTCCTCATTTGCTCCTGTGTACATTACCTCAAATCATTTTTGAGTTCCACGACCACATCCTTTCCCACAAGTGACTTGAAGAAGGAGTAGAAGAGCTGAGGGAAGGGAAAAGGGAAAAAAAAATTATGAAGGGGGGCAGAGGCGGACTGACCACCCATTTCCTATTCCCTTTATTGGTGAATTCTTTCCAGAACCTCCATCTGGGGGAAGAGCCCAGATCAGCCATCTCTCATTTTCTGGACCACAATGCTGTCTGTCCTCCCCCATCCTCACCCCTTCAGTTCCTCTTTTATGTGTAGTGTTCCATGATTAGAATGTAAGCTTTTTGCTTATATTTTTATCCCTTATTAATACAGTGCCTGGCACATAGTAAGCACTTAATACATGCTTGTTGAATGATTGACTTAGCTGGGATCCAGCCCAATTGTGTAGTGATGTAGAAAGAAACCTAGACATAAGAATCAGGAGACTGGGTTTTAATCGCAGCAGTGCCAGTTACTAGCTGTGTTATATCTTGGTCAAATCAACCCCAATTATCACACCTGTAAAATAACAATCTCTAAGGTCAGTTCCAGCTGCAGAATTCTATGTTCTGTGCTTCAAACAGGTCCTTTGTCCTCTCTCCACCCTCCCTCCACATCAGGAGTATTACTCTCTCCTTAAGACTCAAGGACCTCCACCATTTAAAAGCAATAATGGCCTGGAGATCTCTCAATTACCCATTATACAGAGTGTCCCAAAAGTCTCATTGCTATTTTGGAGTAAAACTTTTGAGACATCCTGTCATCCTGCACTATTACCTTTGAGGGGAGAGAGGTATCTAAAGCAGCCGGGATGAGTTAGCTATATGGTCCATGGGGACAGAGCACCGGACTTGGGGTCAGGAGGACCTGAGTTCAAATCTCGCCTAGCTGTGTGACCATTAAGTTGCTTATGAGTGACATGAGTCTATGCCTCATTTTCCTCATCTGTAAAATGGGGATAATGTAGGCACTCACCAAATTAGTTTACACAGGGAAAGCGGTATCTATACACACGTTAGCTATTATTTCAATGTCTACGGTCCAAGTAGTAAAGCACGAGGCAGAGGACCTCGGATCTGGGGACAAAAGGGAGCCTTGTAAGGGGAGGAGGGGTTAACCTTTTAACTGGATGCAAAAACTGAGGTCCGGAGAGGGGAGAAGCGATACGCCCGAGGTTCGCGGCAAGGCCTGTGGCTCGAACCCTGGACTCTCCGCACTGCCCGACCCTGCACCCTCCCAGTTCTCCCGAGCGGGCAGCGGGCGCGGGTCGGGGCTCCTCCCTCCCCCGCGCCCCCTAACCGAGTCAACGGTCTCCGCGGGAATTGGTCCCCCGGCTATGACGTCACGGCCCCTACCATGGTCGTCGCGCCGCGGCTCGGGTCCGGGAGAGGAGGTGGTGCGGCTTAGCTGGGATTGCGGAGAGGTGTGGGCCGCGTGAGCCGATCGTTGCCACCCGTGTCCGAGCCCGAGCCCAGGGCTCACGCGCGCGGGCGCGGGGTGAGGGCGAGTGCGCGCGCGCGCCGGGGAGCGGAAGGCGCGAGAATGGGCGAGAAGGGGCGAGCGGGTTAGGAAGCGGCACCTGACTCAGCTCCCAGAGCTGCAGCCTGAGGGAAGCGGAAAAGCCCGGAACCTGAGGATCGAGACGCTGAGGCGGGGCGGAGCTTATATCCTCTTACCTAGTTCCAGAGTCTCACAGCGCAGGCGTTGTTTTGGGCTAAGGGGCTGGGGTCTGAGGTCAATTTGCTTAATGAAACATATTCAAGCGTTGTCCTGTGCGTCGCAGATAGAAAGATGAGAGGAAATTACCATGTACCAGGTGGTGTGGGAAGACAATCATTCAGCATTTATGTGCCTAATGTAAAGCATGATGAATCCAAAGAGAGATTTCTCATTTAATTTTCGCAAGAATCCTGTGAGATACGTATTGCAAGTATTAACAACACTTCATGGATGAGAAAACAGAAACTAGAGTTTTTGCCTTGTACAAGCTCAGACTGCTTAGTAATGGCAGAGCTAGGATTCTAAAACACATTCTGGGGTCTTTCCACCGCAACTGGATGACCTGTCTATATAGTTCACGTTTAAAAAAAATAATCTCCAAAGTTATATCTTGGAGCTTCTTCTCCATATTATTTATCTTTTTGATCACATCAGCTGCTGAGGAGTCAATTATCGTCTCTATGCTGATGATTCCTAGATTTACTTATCCAGCCCTAACCTCTCTCTTGATCTCCAGTCTCTCATCTCCACTGTCTATTGGACACCTCAAAATAAATGTCTGTTTTTTCAAACGATGTCCGTTTTTTCAAACGATGTCCTTTTTTTAAACGTCGCCATAATTTCCCCTAGTATACCTTCCTCTCTTCCTCTTAGAGAGCTATTTCATATAACAAATAATATTTTTCTTTCTTAATGGTACTTTTATCCAATTACATGTAAAGATATTTTTCAACATTTTTATAAGCTTTTGAGTTCCAAATTTTTCTCCCTCCTTCCCGTCTCTCTCCCTTCCCCAAGAAAGTCAGCAGTCTGATATAGGTTATACATGTACAATCATGTTAAACATATTTCCTCATTAGTCATGTTGTGAAAGAAGAATCAGAACAAAAGGGGAAAACCATGAGAAGGAAAAAAGCAAAAAACAAAGTGAAAATAATATGCTTCAATCTGCATTCAGACTCTATAGTAATTTCTCTGGATATGGTTAGCATTTTCCATCATGAGTCTTTTGGAATTGTCTTGGATCATTGTATTACTGTGACCAGCCAAGTCTATCAAAGTCAGTCATCTCACAATGTGGCTGTTACTGTGTACAAGGTTCTCATGTTCTGCTCACTTTGCTCAGCATCAGTTCATGTAAGTCTTTCCAGATTTTTCTGAAATCTGCCTGCTCATTATTTCTTATAGCAAAATAGTATTCCATTACATTCATATACCACAACATGTTCAGCCATTCCTCAATTGATGGGCATCCACTCAATTTTCAATTCTTTACCACCACAAAAATTCTTTGCTGCTATAAATATTTTTATACATATGGGTCCTTTCTCCTTTTTTATTATCTCTTTGGGATACAGACCTAGTAGTGGTATTGCTGGATCAAAGGGTATACACAGTTTGATTGTTCTTTGGGCATAGTTCCAAATTGCTCTCCAGAATGGTTGGATCAGTTCACAACTCCACCAACAATGCATTAGTATTCCAATTTTCCCACATCTTTTCCAACGTTTATCATTTTCCTTTTCTATCATATTAGCCAACCTGATAGGTGTGAGGTAGTACCTCAGAGTTGTTTTAATTTGCATTTCTCTAATCAATAATGATTTAGAGCATTTTTTCATATGACTATAGATAGCTTTAATTTATTCCTCTGAAAACTGCCTATTCATGTCCTTTGACCATTTATCAACTGGGGAAATGACTTGTATTCTTATAAATTTGACTCAGTTCTCTATATATTGGAGAAATAAGGCCCTTATCAGAAACGCTGGCTGTAAAAAAAATTATTTCCTAGCTTTCTGCTTTCCTTCTAATCTTAGTTGTATTGATTTTGTTTGCGCATAACCTTTTTTATTTAATGTAATCAAAATGATATATTTTGCATTTCATAATGTTCCCTATCTCTTGTTTGGTCATAAATTCTTCCCTTCTCCATAGATCTGACAGGTAAACTATTCCTTGCTCTCCTAATTTGCTTATCATCCTTTACGTCTAAATCATGTACCCATTTCAACCTTATCTTGGTATAGGATGTGAGATGTTGGTCTATGCCTAGTTTCTGCTATACTAACAAATAGTATTTTTTTAAAGACAAAAAGAAAAAGAGGGAAAAGTCAGTATAATTGATTAATACATCAAAAAAGTTTGAAAAGATATACTTGTAGAATTCCCACCTCTTTGCAAAAGTGGGGTGGGAATGTCTTCTCGTATCTTTTCTTTCAAGCCATACTTTTTCTTTATAATTTTGAAATGTTTACTTTTTTGTGGTTGTTCATAGTTCACATTTATATGAATTTCAGAGTTTACAAAGTCCTTTCTGCTGAAGGGTCTGAATCTCTCCCCTATCTATCTGCTTTGATGAATAGCACACTGAGGTTCAGGAAAAACACATGGAATTGACTTTGTAGGACAACTGGGATGTCTGTGTGAGTCCTATAGGAGAAAAGCATATGCTAACTTTTGAATTATAGTGAAGAGGTTTTTGTACTAGTATTCTCTCTTTATTAGTCCCCACCCAACATGACCCTGTGTTAAAACCTTTAAAGTAGCCACCAATTCTTTCTTCTCCAGCCTCCACATTTCATAACCAGTGTGCTGGGGCAGTTTTTTAGGACTGTTCTATGCATGGTTGGCTCCTCTTACTCTTTGCCTTCTCAAACATTCATGTGTCACAGACAGGACCACATATGTACAATAAGACTCATTTAGAGATGTATTATCCATGTCACACATTTTTAGCCAAACACATATAATATATTGATATTCATCTGATTAGTGGGACTCATGCTTTTTGTTTTTTGCATGTACAATAATAAAGACAGATTGAACTGAACTGTCTTCAGCCTCACCTTTCCCTACTCGTGACCAACTGCCAGTGGTTCTCTATAGAAATTCCTCTCTTCAAATAAATGATGTACTCTTCACAGGTCTGCAAACTGGTTGCCTTAATCTCAATGAGCAGTTTTGAGTCTGTCAGGAACTTGTGGGCCCACAGCTTCTCCTCTGATAAAGACCAAGTTGAAAAGCCATAACAAAAGCATAATCTTCTACTACTGGGTACCCCAATTGCTAAGGTTCTCTCTCCCCAAACTTCCTTGTATTTAACTTGTTTGCATGTATCTGTGTTTATCAACTTTGGTTTTGCTGTGTGTATTTCTATATAGACTTGCCTCCCCCATTAAAATGTATGCTCTTAGAAGTAGGAACAATATATTCATTTTTAATTCTTGAGTCTAGCACAGTATGTATACCACACATAGTAGGTGATTAATACTTGATCAACCCCCCCTCCCCCAAATTGCATGCTGAAGTCTCTATATATTTTGGTTGTTAGCCTCTTTGTGCAACTCTGCCTCACTAAATTGACAGCAAATCAGTCATCATCCCGTGATGAAATTAGTCCTCCTCAAAAACAAAGGACAAATAACATTTACCTTGGTGATCATGTTAGCTCCTATGGATTTAATTATTTCCATGCTTAAGTTTCCTAGATCTATTTATCCAGCCCTAACCTTTCTCCTGACCTCCAGTTTCTCATCTCCAACTCCAATCTCATCTCAAAATAGATGTCCAGTAGACATCTTAAACTCAAAATCATGTCCAAAACAGAATTCATTATCTTCTTTCCCCTGCCCCCCAAGCCTTCCCCTCTTCCTAATTCTGTTTTACTGGTGAGGGCACCATCATCTTCCCAGTTAGCCAGACTCACCTAGGTATCATCCTTGATTCACTCTCTGACCCTCCAGATCCAATTTGTTGACAAGTTCTGTCAATTTTATCTTTATAATCTCACTTGTATGTTCCCCCTTCTCCTTTTACATTGCCACCATTCTAGGCTAGATCCTTTTCACCTCATACCTGGATTATTACAATAGCTTGCTGGATGGTTTCCCTGCCTTGTCCCCCCACTCCCGTATATCCTCCATTCATTTGTCAAACTGATCTTTCTGAATAACAGGCCTGACCTTGTTATGCCCCCACACCACCCCCATTCAAGAAACTTCAGTGGCTCCCTATCACTTCCAGGATCAAATATAAAATCTTCTATTTGACTCTCAAGGTCCTTCATTACCTGCCCCCCCAACCTATTTTTCCAACCATCTTACACCTTATCCCCACTTACTCTTCAATCTAATGACACTGGCCTCTTCGCTCTTCCTTGAACGAGAGAATCCCTACTGCTAGCACACCTGGAATGCTCTCCTTCCTCATCCTCCCTTCCTGGTTTCCTTTGAGTCCCAGCTAAAATCCCACCTTCCACAAGAAGCTTTGGCTCCCTTAATGCTAGTGCCTCTCCTCTGAAATTATATCAGATTTATCCTGTACACAGTTGTTTGTATGTTGTCTTCCCCGTTAAACTATGAGCTAGTAGACAGCAGTGTCTGGGTTTTTGCTATGCCTTTATTAGTATCCCCATTATTTTGCACTGTACTGGGTCCATATTAGGTGCTTAATAAATGCTATTGCCACTGGAAATGGAGCAAACTAAGGGGGACAACTCCCCCACTCTTGCTGATTCTTAAGAAAGAAAAGGAGAAAAACAAAATTGCGGAGGGAGCATATTCCAGTCATTGAGTATATTTTATTTGAATGCTTGAAGATAGAAGATGGTATGTCAAGTTTGGGGAACAAGTTAGTAATCCAGTTTTGCCATAACAGAGTATATGAAGGGGAGTAATGTGAAATAAGGCTGGGAAGCTAGAATGCAGTCACCTTGCAGGGAATCTTAAATGAAGCAGTTTGTATTTTATCCTCAAGGCAA